ATTTTTTTTTTTTTTTTTTTTTTTTTTTTGGTACCAAGGATTGAACTCGGGTCCTTGTGCTTATGAGGCAGGCAGTGGAACCACTGAGCTAAATCCCCAGCCCAGGAAGGTACATTTTAATTGTAAATATACATAATTGGAAGCTTGAGAAAATTACAATGTAGACCAGTGGCTGCAGGTCAATTCCAATCTGATGTCTGTTTTTAAATAAAGTTTTATTGGGACATAGCTGAGGCCACTCATGCTGCTTCTGGCTGGTTTTTGCACTACAGAGGTAGAGAGGTCATCCCCAGACTGGGCGGCCTCCAAAATCTAAGCTGTCACGCACCCCCCTCCCACTATGAAGACCATAAGAATCACCCCTAGGGATTCATCTTGGCAAAGGCCAGGTGTGAACATGTGCATTATTCTTCAGTCTGTCCATCCCTTAACCCTACACCTTCCAGTTAACCTAGCAAATATGTATTAAGCACCTCTGAAAGTATGCTACACAGTATTTATTTCATATTTTGACAAAATCAGAAAAACTGCACATTAATTGAATTTTTCACTGGACATTCTCTGTGGTCTTTTACTCAGCATTCTTGTCAAATTAAAACTCTTTCAGGTTAAAAAATTAATTAAAAGAAAAAAGTTTCCTCCTGAGCTGGATGGAGCTGGCTGGGGCAGTGCTCAGGGGCCGGCATCCCCGTTCCCACCCCAGCAGCTCCCACCCCAACATGGCTACACACTGTAATGCTTCGTAGATGTCTGCTGAGGAGTTAGGAGGGAGCCATATTTTTAAAAGATTGGGATTAACTGACGCAGAGCCTCTCCCCCTGGAAAAGCACCTCCAAGACGCTGATCTGATGGCTCTGACCCTGGCTCCTCCCTCAGCCCCACAAGGGTACCACAAATCAGGCTCTGTTCTGAGCAGTCACTCAGCGTCTCCCTTCCAGTGTCTCCTTCTTATCTCACTGTCATGGCAATCTTGTGCTGTGAGTGCTGATCATCTACCCCATTTCACAGATGAGGAAGTGGAGGCCTGAGGATAACAGCCCCAGGCCACACCCCTGGTAGGGGGTGGAGCCTGCTGATTTCCTTACCTCCTTGAGCATGCAAGGAACCCAAAAGCTGCTTTCATGCTTACTGTTCTTGACAAGAGCCTGTGTGCTGGGAGATCTGAAAGCAATGGCTTTGAATCAGCAAGCCTGATCTTGGCCTCCTCACTTACAAACACTGTGACCCTGGGTATACTGTGTTACCTTACCAAAGGCAAATTCTTTTCATACAACAGGACCAATGACACACATGTCCTAGGACTCTTACAGCTGAATGATGTACGGATGAATTAGCACAGTGCCTGACCACACGACACTCTCAGTAAATGTGAACCATCACAAGAGCACTAAAAGAAGCCCTAGTATCAGTAGTATCGGCTGTGCCAACATCTCAAACATCATATATGGTGGCGAGTCTTGTGTGCACTTCTCTAAAGGGATAAAAGATGCTGTGACTGGTTACCCAACAGTGCACTTTCCTAGTTCACAGCAAAACAATACCACAGAGGACGGCAGGTGGATCTGGTCTCAAGAAAGGCCCAAATCAGGAGGTTCTGAGCTACATGGAGAAAAGTGGCATGTCCTTTCCCAGTTTTCTTTTTCTCTCTTTCTGTGATCACAAACTTCCTGTAGACTGAGCCAGTTGCAATTTCAGCATCAGACCATAGAGGGTTGCAGCTTTGGTCCTGATGCTCATTAGGAACTCTCTCCTGCATACGTGTAAGCAAAGCAGCTATGGGATGGATGGCTCTCGGGCAGGAGAGAGAAGGGTGTCCTTCTTGACCCAGTATGGGTGCCAGCCAACTGCTCTCCTCAGAACACCCAGATGCTTCCTTGGTGTCTCTGAATGTCACAGGTGAGACGCTTGGAATGCAGCCTGTGTAGCCACTAGAATTCAGTAGTTCTGATCCATTCTCATCACCCAGCTAGTGGCAGGGACAGCACCTGTGACATGGGCATTAGCTATAGGCCATTACTGAAAACTAGGGGGCGGTTAACATCAGAAGGACTGAGTGACTACCAAGCCTATAGAGTGTTTCTGGGAAGAGAGAGCAAAGAGAGCCAATAAGCAGGAGACCCAGTTGTGTCTTTACACAGTCAGCTGTCAAAGTCAGGTTGTAGCTGAACAGCATTTATGAGAGCAGTTTTCCTAATTCCCAGAAATTTGGGAAAGTATTTTTTTCGTGTCCTTACTTTCATCTGTGGGAGCTTGCTGGTTAGGAATTATGCAGTGAATGTTTTTGATAAAAAGTGGCACTAAATAAGAATCTGATTTGCAAATGCTTTCACATCTAATCTAGCTTTCTAGAGCATTCAGTTGAATGTCTTCTCAGTAGGCTTTATATAAGCAGCAGGCCCCAAAACACCTATATTAAACTACTCTGGCACTGAAATAAAATACTCATCCAAACTTGATCCTTGAAGGATTGTAGACACCCTCTGGGGTTGTAGGGAGTCTGATTCCTTGGATCTCTCAATGCACCAAGGAATAAAGCTGTAGATTCTGCTCCCTCCTGGTCAACTAAGCCTTCTAAGGACAAAGAGAGAGGAGACTCCTGAACACCAAGGAAATCTGTCCATTCTCTACTCTCTTTTGCATTCCCTGCTTTTGCTCCAGATTTCAGGACACTATAAATACTCCCATAGACAAGGGCATGGACTGACTCCTGGGGTGAATCTACCTCTCAAACAGGCAAGACATCCTCAGTCAATCCTGGGCTGAGATCAGCCATTCATTTCAGGCCTCTGATTTTAGCAAAGTAGTGTGCCAAGAGCCATGCGAGACAGAGAAATAAAGGCCACTGGGAAGACTCAAAGAAACACTCAAAGTGGGGCTTGCAGGGTTGCTCCAGGGCTTCCAGGAAGGTGGTGCTGAGACAGAGGGGCTGGATGAGCAGCGCCTCAGTCACTGAGCTGCAGGAGGGTGAGCTCTGTCTCCCTCACCAGTACACAGGTAAACCCAGGTGCAGCTCCCAGCAAGGAGCTGGAGCAGGTGCTGCCTGTCGCCCAGCTCTTCCCACTGGTTCTTCTTCCTGCAGCGAGGCTGTGCCTTTTGCTTCTACTGGAGCAACAAGATCACCGTAAGGCTGAGACTTAGATTTGAGGGCTTCTTTTAGAAAAAGCAAACTCTCCAAATCTCTTAGCCATTCAGATGGAACTATGTCATGACCAATGCACATGCGACACTCCAACGATGTCCACTAACAAGTCCACTCAGCCCCACTCAAAACACTAAGCTCTGCCAGTCTTTCCTCTAGCACACCGACTTTCTGAACTGCACACACACTTTAGATCCCATCATCAAAGGACAGAAAACATAGCAATGAAGAATGGCACTACAGATTTTTGGAATGACTCTTCTTTGCAAAAGTCAATAAAATGAAAGCTGATATTTAGTGTTAGATTTGGAGAATGAAATGTATTATCTACATAATGTGTCAGTATTTATAATTTAACATGATCATCATATTTCTCTGTGGAGGTAGAATTGTATTTTTCTACACTCGAGGAAACTGCATTTCTAAAAGGTTAAATGGCCAGTCTAAAATATGGAGCCAGGGAATGGAGTGGATAAGACTCATGCCACACCTCAGGCACCTGAGTCCTAGGACCATACTCATTCCTTGTCCTTCCTCCAGAAAATATGAACCCTAAACACAGACTGATGGCTACTGATTGTTATTTTTGTAGGCTCTTCAATAGAAGGGAAACGTTTATATTCATGTTGACTTATAAGAGCAACATAAAGACATTCCAAAAAGAAGTCATCAAAAAATGTTCCAATGTGTAGTGATAAAAAAATCAGGCATTTCAGCAGGCCACAGGCCACTATAATCCTAGCACTCTGGGAGGCTGAGTCAGGAGAATCACAAGTTTGAGACCAGCCTGAGCAATTCAGCTCAAAAAAAAAAAAAAAAAGGAA